TGTGCACTTGGAGTTTCAGTAGAGGCCGTCATCGTTACTTGTTAACTCCTCATTATTCATCCAAGGCAGATGGTCCGAATTTAGTAACCAATTCCCCTTACGGGACACTGGAGTCGCTTATCGTGTGTTCATTACATGTGATGTTTCTAAATCTTATTTTAACCCAGTGGATCTCGACTGGGGGTGATTTGGTCCCTCGGAGATATTAGGCAATGTCCAGAGACAATCTTGGTGGTCATGACTTGGGGCAGGTGCTATTGGCTTTGGGACAGAAGCTAGGGATGCAGCTAAACATCCTACAGGGCACGAGTGGCCCCATGACAAAGAATGATTAGGCCCCCAAACTCCACTGTGCTATGGCTGAGAATCCCTGCACCCAATTCCATTCAGCCTCTTGGGGATACGAGTCTCTGGAAGGGTCTTCGTGACATCAAGTGGTTTCCTTTGCTAAAAAAATACCACCGATTAAAACATAGATTCTCAAGCTCTGCCTCCACACTGAAGGGATTAGAAGCTTATTGATGATACCTGGGAAACGGAATTTCATTTCGAATGTCCCCGCCACGTCCAGTTACCTAACTCAGATCCTTTCCTCTCTTAACCTTCAGGAGAGCTGCATCCTTCCTTCTGGAATGTTTCATATATATGAAGATATGTGAAATATATATATGGTTTTAATCTTATTTTTAATTGAAAAATGATTTATGTTCATGGGAAAATCCCTCAGTTGGTCCACTGGCTCATAGTCTTAGTTTGCTATGGCTGCACTAATAAATTTCCGCAAATTTAGTGACTTTAAAACAATACCCATTTATTCTCATGCGGTCCTGGAGGCCGAAGTCTGAAAGCAGTTTCACTGTGCTGCAGTCAAGGTGTTGGCAGGGCTGCTTACTCTGGGAGGATCTAGGGGAGCGTCTGCGTTCTTGCCTTCTCCAGCTTCTGAGGGCTGCTGGCATTCCTTGGCTCACGACCCCTTCCTGTGTCTCTCCAACCTCTTGCTTCCGTCATCACATCTACTTCTTCATCGTACCTCCTTTCATCCCTCTTGTAAGGACCCTCGTATTGATTCCATTTAGAGCCCAGTCATATAATCCAGAGTAATCTCCCCATCACCTAAGATCCTTAATTAAGTTCTATCTGCAAAGTTCCTTTTGCCATTTAAAGTAACATCCACAGGTTCTGGACAATAGGAAACGTATATCTTTGAGGCAGGGGACATTATTCAGTCTACCACGTTTATCCTTTAGCATAGCTACAGTTGTGTCTCACTCCATGGATGTATAATTTATTATGTATCATAACAATGTATCAGTCAAGCTTAAGATGAGAAAGAGAAACCCGTTGAGGTCTTTTAACAGGAAAGGAGTTAATATAGGAAATTCATAAGGACTCAACTCTGCCATTGTAACATGAAAGCAGTCACAGACTGAGCTGAACGAATGAATGAGCGTGGTTGTGTGCCAATAAAGCTCTGTTTATAAAAACGAACAGTGGGCCACAGTGGCCCAGGGGATGTAGTTTGCCAACTACTGGTACAAAGGAGTAGGACCTGGGCTGATCCCTCAGGGATGATTCTGCACAACTGGTTTGCCAAGGGATCTGAGGCTTCTCACAATCACAGAAAGTGGGGGACTCAGGAGGCCCTTGAAATCTCCAACTTTGGGCACATACACTGTAACTGTGATTCAGGAACAGGATGCCAACTTTGCCTCCTCCACAACTGCTTTTCAACACCCGCCAAAGTTGGCTGCTGGCATAGTGAAGAGGAAGCAAAACTAAGACAGCACGAGTTCCTTCTTCCTTCCAAAGTCCCACTGGCGCCTCAACACGTGCCCGGCTACACGGAATTCCGGGAGTATGACAGCAGCTTTATAGCCTCTGCCCAGAAAGGGGTCGGGTTGGGGCAGGAGCTGTTGTCTACCCACAACTTCCTTCTTGTTTATTACTGTGTGTTATGGGGATGGTAAGAATGATTGCATAATTGTAGGATGCATAATCATAGAAACATATATAATTGCAGGCTTAGGGGCAGAGTAATTATTATATAGTGTAATAAATTATGTAATGAAATGTAACTTTACAGGGATTATGAATCACGTAATTGTTACACCCTCCAGGAAACTGAGTGTGCATCTTGTTGACATTGCCTGGGTGATCCTGCCATGTTGAAAGGTGGGGCGATAAAAGGCATGGGTAAATGGGGGTGAGAGTACGGTAGATTAAGGGGGTGGGGTGAGAGCGTGAGGAAGAGGTGAGGCTGGGGCCAGGGTTCAGGTGAGAGCCAGGGTTCAGAAGTAGAATTGCTGGGTCACATGGTAATCTTATTTTTAATTTTTTGAGAAACCTCCATATTGTTTTCTTCAGTGGCTGCACCATTTTACATTCTCACTAACAGTGCACAAGGGTTCCAATTTCTCCACATTCTTGCTAACACTTTTTTTTTTTTTATAGTAACCATCCTGATGGGTTTGAGGTAGAATCCTTGATTTTTTAAATCTGTAGTTCCATGCTTATTTTTTTATTAATCACACTTCTGCATCCTTAAACTATCTCTCTGTGGGTATATTTTGTGGGTGTAAATATGTATAGCCAGTTTTTGATGTTTTATAAACGTGGTGTCATGCTTTCTGATGCCTTCTGGGACTTACTTTTTCCCCGCTCAACATCACACTTTTAAAATTCATTCATGTCATTAGTCAGAGAAGGACCTCACTCAGAGAGAATGGCAGAAGTACACCTGTCCCTGGTCCACAGGTACAGAGTCAACTCTGAGACTCAGTGGATTAGAGCAAGATGGTGTATGACTTAGAACACAGCAAGCAGCATGAGCCTCAGTCTTCAAGCCCCACAGGTGACATGAAGAACCTGAGGGACACAGGGCCAAGGGCTGAACCTGTTTTGTATTAAACAGCAAGCAAGCCAGTTCTCCTCCATCAGAGAGCAAACAGTTATGCAGAAGTCAGGCTGCATGGCCCACCTGTCTTGCTATGGAAAGTGCTGGGTCTCAGGGAAAAGATAAAGCTTGCAGTATAGCACAGTCACAAGAACACACAGGGACCGCAGACAGCTGTGGTTCATCCATTTTCACAGTTGTATAATATTCCCCATGTGAAAATACCAAGACACTGAGGGTGCTTCCAGTCTTTTTGCCCACGTGCAAATCCTGAGGGTGGAGCTGCTGAGTTCTGGGTAACCCCTGTGGTATAGCCACTGTTTGTTCCACTTTTAGCACTTTGGCTTTTAATTGCTGCTAAAACCATTTACTGAACCCACTCCCAGCAGAGGATCCCATGGCCCCAGCTCTGACCTCTCAAATGCAGAAACGGCCCCAGATCTTAGGAGAGGAGTCTTACCAAGGGAACCCTAAGCTGAAGAAGACTTCATTTCTGCTCCCTGGCGGGACGGGGGCTTAAAACAGAAATTAAGTTCAGCTGTAGAAAAGTGAAGTTTTTATTCTTTGCATTTCTGAGTTTATGAAATGAGACTCTTGCTTGCTACAGCAAACAAAACAGAACAAAAAAATCCCAGAAAACATGGAGCTGTAGGTTGAATTGGGGGAGGGGGGCATCCTTGGTATTTGTGTTCTAACTTGCTTGAGCTAAGAGAACAGCTGCATGGTGTCCCAGATTCAAATCCTGACTCCTCCCCTTCCACAACATCTCACCTCTCTGGGCCTCAGTTTTCCTACTCTGCGAAATGGGGCAATGCTAATTGGGGATGAAGTGGTTCGTGGGTGGGAAGCATGTTCAACAGCTTCTGCATGTAGAAAGTGCTACGTGAGGTTTTTTTGTATTTATGGAAATGCAAACCCACCACTACGCATCTGAGGCTGTGTGCTTTTTCTTATTTTAATGTCTCCTGTTAATAAAATATTTTTACAGAGACCAAAAAGTCAGAATAGTGCAAAACATCTCAACACC